AACGTATACTCAATCATGCAAATCCCTCCAGAACTCGGGTAATTTTGGTCTTCCACTGTGCTTCGATAGTTTGCATTTGGTTGTTCATCACAAGCTGGTGTATTAATGAAATAGTTGACATAACTGGAAAAAAATGTTTATCATTAACATTGGCCTAATGCAATTATTATACAGATGCACAAAATACTGTAGTGTGATAATAAATACAAAATCAAGAAGATGCATGTTGACATATAGGGAGGTCCACTTTTTCAAGTCAAGTTCTTGCCTTTGAAATTCAGTCTCGGTCATTCTTCAATATCATCTTTCCACATAGGCCTAGGCCTAATTCAAAATTACGCTTAAAACATTTCACCAAAATTGTTGGCCTAAATACTAAGATATAGCATGGCCTTGGTTTAGAGCGTTCAAGTTGGCCTAGGACTGGACTAGTAGTAATACTAGTCCTTTGGAAACAGACGTCGTTGTCATGTTATCCAGTAGCCTACTGACACACTGACTGAGCAATCTTCTAAGCTAGGCCCAAATAAATTGGTTATGTGCTGCGCGGATAATACACCGAAGCGCTTGACAAATCGCATTGGACCTGCCAAAAGAAGAGGAATAAGTAGGCCTAGGGCCTAGCCTAGATCCTCCTCCAGTACAGATCAGAGAGCAGACGTTTCTAAGTCGCATCTTTATTCTGTTTTAAATACATATAATAATATACTTATCTTTTATTTTCGATAAACTTTTGGTTCGACTGTGACGGCATTACTCAGCTGCATGATAAAAAGCTGGATTTCTCAATGGTACTTTGTTTATAAACACATCACACCGCATTGCCATTTAGAGGATTATGGACTCCCCATAAGGACTCCCCAGTAATGGCGTCGACAACAGAGGGCGCCATTCTTCTTGGATAGGTCTATACCATGGACCTATATTACATTTCATAATTATATACCTCTATGGTCTATACACAGCACTATCAGCGATCCTTTCCAGCCTCGTTTTCGTTCTACTACCATACCTTGCCTTTGACCTTTCATGCACCTCAAATACCAACATCTTGCATTGTTATGAACACTTTCCGGCTTCCTCCATATTTATTGAAGTTTGGTAAATTAAGTTTCCTAAACGTGAAATGCCAACATTCTTATACCCCTAATATTAAATGCCAACATTCTTATACCCCTAATATTGTTCTTATTGCTAAACCTTAGCCTTCTGTATGCTCCACAATTATTTTGCATGTCTAAAAAAATTATACATTTACCTTTCACTGTGAAGTTAGGTAGACGACGATTCTTGCATTGTGAACTTTCATTTACCTTAGGTAGACGACGATTCTTGCATTGTGCATATCTAAAAAAATTATACATTGACCTTTCACTGTGAAGTTAAGTGACAGTGAAGTTAAGTGAAGTTAGGTAGACGACGATTCTTGCATTGTGCATATCTAAAAAAATTATACATTGACCTTTCACTGTGAAGTTAAGTGACAGTGAAGTTAAGTGAAGTTAAGTGAAGTTAGGTAGACGACGATTCTTGCATTGTGAAGTTTCATTTACATTAGGTAGACGACGATTCTTCATTGTGAAGTTTCATTTACGCTTCACTGTGCTTCACTGTGGAGTGGAGTAATTCGCTCACTCTACTTCTACTACTATCACCGTATCATTCATCGAACGCTACTGTATTATTCATCGAACGCTACTGTATCATCACTGTAAGTACCATATCATTTCCCCCCCCCCAAAATACCCCTAATATTGTTCTTATTGCTAAATCTTCTGTATGCTCCACAATTATTCCTACTATACTCTACATACAGCATGTCTACTTTGAAAATTTTGCATGTCTAAAAGTTGTTCATAATGTGCGTCATCAAAAAATAACTAATATACGTACATCTACCTTAACCAGGCGCCTAACAGGGTTCAGTAATTTATGACCCGGTCTGATACCCCTCCACCCATATATCTTATTTATAATATAGGCCACAATCATGTGTTTGAAACTAAATATAAGCATTTTCATCATGGTTTTATTTATTAAAACATAGGGCTATTCCTTCACCATCAATACACATGAAGGCCTTTCTTTTAGGTAAAACGATCTATCTTAAATGTTCTTTCTATTCGAGTTCCGCCTGTTATTAACTTAGAAGGCAAAGGAGGACAAGCACACGCTCTTACCCATATTTTTTTTGTGGGGGTGTTTAGGGCTTATGTTATATATGGCCACACAAGTTTTATTATGGCTTTATTTATAACAAACATATTCTTTCACCATCATTACACATTGAGGCCCTTCTTTCAGGTACATCTAGATGTGTATAAGAGACAGCACAAGAGTCATTTAAACCCTAGATTGGGTTTAAAGTATTAAATATGTCTGGTTGTTGATACCGTACTGTACGCACATTATGCGCCATCATAAATAACTAAATTACATGTAGGTCTATAATGCTCATACATGTACCTTAACGTAACCCTGAAAAAAAAAAATAAATTTGACCACTATAATTACATTTGTAATTATTTCTGACACCACTAATCACTTTCTCGACCTCAAAAACTTATATAGCACCAAAATATAACTTCAGATAAAAAAGTTAAGCCCTTTTTCGTGCATTTCAACCACGAATAGGGTCATTTTACCCCCGCCCCCTCAATTTCGTTTTTTGGCCCAAGACTGTCCCCTCTTCAACCGATTTTTCTTTAAAAAGGTGTCAAAATGTCCAGGACTATACGCCGCTACATTTACTGTAAGACCTGTACATTTAGTTGGATTGGATTGGATTTATTCGGTGTGTAAACACCAAGGATAGCGCACGAAAGTCTAGAAGAAGACTATCCAGTGGTGTCCTTCTGGTGGTGATTGGGCAGTAGGCCTCCACCTGTAGACAATCCCCTACTCTTTTCCGAAGAGTACTGCGTTCTTTAACGTGCACATGGGCCATCAATGCACACAGGACCAACGGCTTAAACGTCTCATCCGAAAGAAGGTGCGCTATTATAACTTGGGAGGAGGCAGCGATGGGAATTGAACCGGGGACCTAGAGATATCTACGGTTCAGCGCACACACAGTGGCTACCACCAGATTAGCCGACTGAGCTAAGCTGCTCTCTAATTTGGTATTTGAATTGAAATATCACTCATTTTTGACCATGTATAGCCCACCACTAGTTTTAATAACATCAAAGCATTCATCGCAAAACCAGAAACAAATGTCAAACATCAGAACCCAGCTTTTATTGTTAAAAAATGTCTGGCACCATTGACTGGAAATATGGTATATTATAGTTTATATTATATTTTTTATTAAGGGGTCCTTCACAATTATCAACATTTTCACAAGCGTACAAAACGTACGTTGGGGGAGGGGGTAAACCCTGGCGTACGCTTTTTAAAAAGTAATAAAATGTCGGTCAAAAATCGTCACAAACACGAAAAAACAAGGCTACCGGCGAAAGTTTGATGAACTCCAGTTCCGTGGAGTAGCGAGAATATGCATTGATCTGGGCGTATAAAGCCTTTGTTTTACGTTACGATGTATTCGCGATTAAAAAAAATTCTCTGAACTCTGGCGACTGAACGCGTGTTGCGTGTTGATTGTTGCTCACTGGCATCATCGTTTTTGAAAAAGCGAAATTAAAAATGGAAAAAGTACAGAGGAAGAAGACAATGCTTCATTGTTTCTCTATAAGGTTGGTTTAATTTGTTGAATATACAATAAGCTGTGCCTAGGCTAGTAATACAGTCTACAGAGTAACCTACCTACCTAGGCTAGGCCTATTCATTGAATAGTTCACTGTTTCGTTTTCGGCCAAAACGACCGGGATATGACCGGTTGAGCCGCCGACAAGTTGAGCCGCCGGTAATTTCTATCGAACGCCAAGCGCGTCTCTCAGTGAATGTAGTCGGCCTGCCGATGTCATCAGTGAATGAAACCCCCGGATACCAGCTACATATTTCATCCCACAGTCTTGTCAGTCGTTGATTTGCTCGTATTGCCGTTCGTGATGTATAATTGTGTAATTGAAAATTAGAATTTTAATATTTTTATGTACTACATTTTTATAAAAATATATGAAGTTGTATAATTGCAAAATCGTATTAAAAATGTAATTTTATGTACTACATTTTTATACAAATAAATGAAGTTGTATAATTGCAAAATCGTATTAGAAATGTGTTTATTTACGTTTGGTTTGCGGCGTATTTCAATTAACTTATTCGTTATTTGTACTATTTTGTTAAATTATTTAATTAAATTATTTATTATATATAAGTTTAACAAATAGTACAAAAATAAAAATATATAAATTATAAAACCATAGTAAATACTGTATAAACGTAGACCTAACACATTTAAATTTATTGTTTATAGTCATGCAAAATCATATTAAAAATTTAATTTGTATTTGTACTATTTTGTTAAATTATTTAATTAAATTATTTATTATATATAAGTTTAACAAATAGTACAAAAATAAAAATATATAAATTATAAAACCATAGTAAATACTGTATAATAACGTAGACCTAACACATTTAAATTTATTGTTTATAGTCATGCAAAGTCATATTAAAAATGTAATAACTTGATTATTTTTTACGTTTGATTTGCGGCGTATTTCAATTAACTTATTCGTTATTTGTACTATTTTTAAATTATTTAATTAAATTATTTATTATATATAAGTTTAACAAATAGTACAAAAATAAAAAGTATATAAATTACAAAACCATAGTAAATACTGTATAATAACATAGGCCTAACACATTTAAATTTATTATTTATTATTTATTATTCATGCAAAATCGTATTAAAAATGTAATAACTTGATTATTTTTTACGTTTGGTTTGCGGCGTATTTCAATTTAACTTATTCGTTATATGTACTATTTTGTTAAATTATTTAATTAAATAATATCTATTATATATCATTATATATAATAAATGATAAGAATGTATGGAGTTTTTTTTTTTTTACTATCTGGCAAGCCGACTGAATTAGACAGATGACTATAAACAGTAAATTTAAATGTGTTAGGCCTACGTCAATATATTTACTATGGTTTTGTAATTTATATACTTTTTATTTTTGTACTATTTGTTAAACTTATATATAATAAATGATAAGAATGTATGGAGTTTTTTTTTTACTATCTGGCAAGCTGACTAAGCAAATACTCACAAAATTTAAATTAAAACGATAGAAAGAACAAGTAAACAAATTGAAATACGTCCCAAAAATATTTAATAAATCAGTGCAAAAACCGAGTATTAAATAAATTGAAATAATTGAGTAAATAAACTGAAATACATCCCAAACAACAGTACAGTAACAAGAACGAATAAGTTAATTGAAATACGCCGCAATTAACGCACTACATTCACTGAGAGACGCACTTAGCGTTCCATAGAAATGACGGCGCCTCAACTTGTCGGCGGCTCAACCGGTCATAATCCAAACGTCCAGGGTTACGAGGCCGCAATGCCGCTGCAAACGACCCAGGCTAGGCCTAGCCTAGCTTGTCTTATAAAAAGCAAATGTTGCCTTGGGCCCTATCGGCTGTGTGACATTTTTGTAGAATGTAGCCTGTCCAAAAAATGCTATTCTATAGGTTAGCCTACTTTACTAATACTAGCTAGTAGTATTCTACGTAGTCTATGCCTACTGCTGGCTGGCCTAAACTACTACTACTCCTAGGCCTAACTATGGTTAGTCCAACTGCTCCTAGTTAATAGCTATGCCTAGAAATAGAGGCTAGGCCTACATATATTCAATTAAAATGCTCTCATTGTCATTCATTGAAGTTTTGTTATTTTCTTTCTGATTCCTTGTTTTGAAATACTTCCATCTTTTTTAAATCCCACCCATTCACTTGACAGGCCTAGCTTTGTGTTTTGTGTGTGCATTTTTTCCCTGATTTTAATACAGTAATACTGACATTATTTTAATATACTAAAGCTGAAAGTACAGTATCTTATTAAGATAAGATAAGATACACTTTATTGCTCCAAGTCGGAAATTTAGTTCTCGCATTAAAATACAGTAAAACAATTAAAAGAATGATCAAATATAATGAAATACAAAAATTACAATGTAAAAAAGATATCAAACAACGACCATTAAAACATTATAAGTCACCGAAGCATTATTATTATTATCAATATTATTATTATTATTATTATTATTATTATTACTATTGTTACTATCATTTTCCAATTTCATTATCATTACTTACTACCATAATTCATCTTTTAAAAGTTTTGTTAAAAGCTCTGACACCTTGGGGAACGAATGAGGAAGAGTAGCGGCATGTGCGTGCTGCCGGCGGCCTCAGTCTACCACTCCGAGCAATCTTTGAGTCAATAATTTCAGAGTGAAGGAGATGGGTCACGTCTTCAATGATGCTCTGAAACACCTTCTCTAACCGGTAGTGGTACACCGAGTCCGCCGACAGGCAACGCACACCGGTCACTCTCTCAACCTTTCGGATCAGACGATTGATTCTTTCCTTGTCACAGTTAGATATATTGCCTCCCCAACCCACAATACAATAGCTCCAGACACTTAAAATTACAGAATTATAAAAGATACCTAAAATTTTACTGCACACATTAAAAGACCTAAGTTTTCGAAGACAATACATCCTGCTGTTAAGCTTTTTCATCATGTGATCGGTATGATCATCCCATGTGAGAGTGTTATTTAATATTACGCCTAAATATTTATATGACTTGACCTGCTCAATTTCAGTACCTTTAATAATAATTGGATCTAATAGTGGCTTATTTTTACGAAAATCGATAATCATTTCCTTAGTTTTTATTGTGTTAAGCTGTAAATAATTAGCATCACAATAGTTGACGAATCTTTCAATTTCATTATAATAGTTAGAAAAATCATTATTTCTAATTAGACCAATTGTCTCTGTATCATCAGCGAACTTAATAATGGGTACACTTTCATGTGAAGACCTGTAGTCCGATGTATATAATGTACTGTATAACCAAATGAAGCAAACACTGTTCCCTGTGGAAAACCTGTGTTAATAATAATAATAATAATAATAGAGTAGTTTTATATAGCGCACAAATCCATCTAATGTAAGATGCTCAGGGCGCTTGAAATGTTAGTAGATATAGTATCTGATTTGACATCATTACTGAGTTATTCGAATAAATGTCCCGTTTATTTGAATAAATACTGTTATATTGTTATTTTTCTCTATATTTTTTTTTTACTAGACTATAGGCTACATCTGAAACTGCCAAGAGTACTGAAACTGTTGCTACTTCACTATTCACATGGAAGTTTATGAACCAAAAGGTGCTCCTGCTACAGCTTTGGCTATTAGTAGTGGCGATGTACACTTCTTCATACGGATTAGTCAACAATAACGCAGAACTGAACTCACAACTCAGATTGTTTTATTTGTCCAAAATTATAACAACAAGTATTGTGTATACTGTAATTAAATTATAACACATTGATGGTCGGGAGCCGGAGACTGTCATTAAGGCTGAAATAAGCTGCTACCATGAGAGCCACTGTAGAGATAAATAAATGTATTGTTTTACACATAGTACAATTTAATGTGTCTTGTATTGAATTTACTTATTTGAACTGGCTGTTCCGAGATGCCAAAAAAAATCAACATTTTTCTTGTACACTTTCAGGGGGGGGGGGAGGGGGGTCATGAAAAAGTGTACTGTTTGTACACTTGTGAAAATGTTGATAATTGTGAAGGACCCTAACTACAATGTCGGGGCCAGTGGTGGACCGTCAAGGCAAGCAAGGTATGCAGTGCATACCCTTTCTAAAACAAATAAGAAAATATAGTAGTACAGTTTCTGTATTTGATTTAGCATTTCTCAGCCACAATCTTCTATATAAACCTTAATTTTTCGAGAGGGATTGCTGTAGTTTATTGGAAAAGCAAAGTTTTTCAATGTTTGGCCTACTTTAGTATCTAGGATAAGTCACATTCTGGCCTATCGCTGCATCGCATCGTACTCTCAGCTGCTTAGAATTTCCGCATGGCTGGTTTTCAATATCAACCAATCACGTATTCAATGGAAGTCATAGCATACTTTTTATTTATTTGCAAATCACTCGAGGTTATTAGGGAGTCTGTATTATTAGATTTAAAAAAAAGATCTTGAATTTTGTTCTGAGTCTGCAATATGGCAAAAATTTGCCGAATCAAATATTAACGCAGCTTGCAGCTGCATTTTCTCGTTAATATGTAATGGGGGGTGGGGGGTCTTAGTAATGAGGTTTTTACAGCATTTGACAAGTACTGCAAACATTATTTAAAACTTGCTTAGGAGAAACGTTCATATTTGAAACGGGTTTTATTTTACATTGTTGCTTTAAGTTACTTTTCTTTGTTCTTCGGTATTTAATAGGCCTAATTGTTAAGCCTTTTGTTTTTGTTTGATTTTAATTTTGTTTTCATTGATACTTTTAAGCCTTGTCTAAATTGATTATATTTCTTTAAAAAGAGAAGAGCAATTTGTTCTCTTTTGTTTTCTTAGTTTAAAATTAACTGCACCACGTAATTGTGTGTTGCCACTGTTATAAAAGTGAAAAGTCGAATAAATTATTATTATTATTATACCCTACAACGCTTAAATTTGCTATTGTGACAACCGTGTGGTGGCGTCAGAATAGCCAATTTAACACTGGAATGGAGGGAGCAGGTCAAAATGTCAAAAAACCAAAACGGCACCTTTTCCGTTCTATGCCTATTGCCGTTTTGGTCTCTTGCCGTTTTGGTCTATTGCCGTTTTGGTACTTATTTTGGCCGTTTTGGTTTATTGCCGTTTTGGTCATTGCCTATTGGGTCATTCCATGCCAATTCAACGTGGCCGCGGAAGTCACCATCTCAGATTTTGTTTAAATTTTCAGGGTTTATTGTAACTTCAGTAACTAAGAAAAATCCAAAATTTCAGCTCAATCGGACCAATACTTTCCGAGATACCGGTGTCCGGAAAAGTGGGCGTGGCACCCATTAGAGCCGCCGACGACGTTGTTATTTGGATTCTTTGATTTTTGAAATGTCATAACTTTTCTAGGTCACCTACAAAGCTAAAAATCACAGTACTTCTTCAACTTTTGGAGTAGATTCAGATTCTGCATTCAAATAATTACTTAGAAAAACACTTTTTGAATTATACTCTATCGAACATGGCTTCAGAATGAACGCGACAGAGCTTTCAGCTATTTTTGCTCACCCATATCTCAAAAACCAGAAGGGCTAACCCAAAACTGTTTTTGATTTCTTATACCCTACTAAATTCTGTGTAAGTAAATTATAACTTTTTTTCTAAGTCACCTACAAAGCTAAAAATCACAGTACCTGCTCAACTTTTTCAGTAGATTCAGAATACTTTTGAATTATGCTCTATCAAACATGGCTTCAAAATGAACGCGACAGAGCTTTCAGCAATTTTGTCGTCAATCTCAAAGACTAGAAGGCCTAATCCAAAACTGTTTTGATTTCTAATACCCTACTAACTTCTGTATAGGTACATAAATTAAATATGAATATGCCTCCCATTATAGTCCAGCCAGAAATTTGATAAATACAGGTAGTCGTGTTTGGTGGTAGAACCCAATATTGATTTTGCAATATCAACTTGAAAATTTAGCATGATCAAGTTTAAATGTTACAATCAGAATATTAAAAATATTATTTTATATTTACCATCTTCTTGAACTATTTTACAGGGCAGAATTACACATAATCACACATTTTTGACTGTCAAATGTCTATTCTTGAAAATTAATATATATTATATTTTTATCATATGCTGATGCTGCTAACAGTTTGTGCCATATTTTCATAAAAACGTGATACCAAAATTTTTTTTAGTTACAATAAACTTAAATTAACCAGATTATCTTAATTTGCATTACCGGTAATTAGCTTCTTTTTTTTTTTTATAAAAAATGTATAAACAGAAAATTTATGTTAATAAGTTCAAACTCCATAGTTTGATTGATGTATTCAAATGTTTAACTATATTTAGTTATTTTAGTTAAAATAATTTCATATAAAAGTTGTTTTAGCATTGTGTGCACTGTGTGAAGATGCTAACAGAGATGGATGACAACAGTAACCACAGTGAAAGACATGGAGAAAGCTACACTGATCCACATACTGACAAAGCTACTCTAAATTCTTTTTTAACATCTTTAAACTTTATACCCCTTAAGAGTTCATCAAAGTCAAATATTGTATACTGTAAAGCAAAATCAAAGGAAATATTACAGAAACATTTTGGCATCACTTTTATGAAAATGTGGCACAAAAAGTAGCATTAGCATATGATAAATATATAATATATATTAATTTTCAAGAATAGACATTTGACAGTCAAGAATGTGTGATTATTTGAATGCAGAATCTGAATCTACTCAAAAAGTTAAGCAAGTACTGTGATTTTTAGATATTTAGGTGACTTAGAAAGAAAGTTGATATTTCAAAAATCAAATAAATTAAAATAACGACAACGTCGGCAGCGATTATGTGTCATTTTGACCTGTAAAATATTTCAAGAAGAGAGTAAATATACAATAATGTTTTTAATATTATGATTGTAACATAATTATATTAAACTTGATTATGCTGAATTTTCAAGTTGATATTTCAAAATCCACATTGGGTTCTACCACCACCAAACGTGACTACCCTTATTTGTCGAATTTCTGGCTGGACCATAATGGGAGGCATATATTTGGTAGTATTCATGCTTGGGTTATGTCCATATTTACTTTACTTACACAGAAGTTAGTAGGGTATAAGAAATCAAAAAACAGTTTTGGGTTAGCCCTTCTAGTTTTTGAGATACGGGCGAACAAAAATTGCTGAAAGCTCTGTCGCGTTCATTTTGAAGCCATGTTTGATAGAGCATAATTCAAAAAATATATTTTAAAGTAATTTTTGGAATGCAGAATCTGAATCTACTGAAAAAGTTGAGCAAGTACTGTGATTTTTAGCTTTGTAGGTGACTTAGAAAAAAAGTTATGACATTTCAAAAATCAAAGAATCCAAATAACGACAACGTCGGCAGCGATTATGTGTAATTTTGACCTGTAAAATATTTCAAGAAGACAGTAAATATACAATAATGTTTTTAATATTATGATTGTAACATATATTAAACTTGATTATGCTGAATTTTCAAGTTGATATTTCAAAATCCACATTGGGTTCTACCCCCAAACGCGACTACCCATATTTGTCGAATTTCTGGCTGGACCATAATGGGAGGCATATATTTGGTAGTATTCATGATTGGGTTATGTCCATATTTACTTTATTTACACAGAATTTAGTAGGGTATAAGAAATCAAAAACAGTTTTGGGTTAGCCCTTCTAGTTTTTGAGATACGGGTGAGCAAAAATAGCTGAATTTGAGATATGGGTGAGGAAAAATAGCTGAAAGCTCTGTCGCGTTCATTCTGAAGCCATGTTTGATAGAGCATAATTCGAAAAGTGTTTTTCTAAGTAATTATTTGAATGCAGAATCTGAATCTACTCCAAAAGTTGAAGAAGTACTGTGATTTTTAGCTTTGTAGGTGACCTAGAAAAGTTATGACACTTCAAAAATCAAAGAATCCAAATAACAACGTCGTCGGCGGCTCTAATGGGTGCCACGCCCACTTTTTTTCGGACACAGGTATCTCGGAAAGTATTGGTCCGATTGAGCTGAAATTTTGGATTTTTCTTAGTTACTGAAGTTACAACAAACCCTGAAAATTTAAACAAAATCTGAGATGGTGACTTCCGCGGCCACGTTGAATTGGCATGGAATGACCCAATAGGCAATGACCAAAACGGCAATAAACCAAAACGGCCAAAATAAGTACCAAAACGGCAATAGACCAAAACGGCAAGAGACCAAAACGGCAATGACAATACCAAAACGGCAATAGGCATAGAACGGAAAAGGTGCAAAATCAATGCCAAGAATGAAGCGCCACTGGGTGCGGGCAGAAGTTTATAATTTTCTGAATCGTGTTTTGTTTTTTGTTAAGTATGTTTTTTTTGTTTTTTTTACATATCCATGACTAGGCCTATTAAAGTGGTTTTTTTTTTTTCTCGTTTTTACACTTTCATGGCATAATATTTTTAGCCTCATTTTATCTGTATTTTAAGGTTGTAATTATTTAAATGTACACTGTTTTAATTGCAGTCTTTTTACTATTGAATTGTATTGTATGTTGTTATTATTAAGTCGACTTGGTTTGAGCATGATGGTTTGAGACACGTTTCTATTATCGATATATATTTTTATCATGTTTATTAATGCTTAAATAAAAGATTTATGGAATAAGTGTAGTACTGTGAAAAGATTAGTTTGCCATACGTTTGTTTTCTTCTGTTACGTTTCGTTTCCTTTCACCATAATGTTCTAATGACAAGTTTATGTTGATACATATAAATTAAAATAGACCGAATGGTATAATGATAAATGAAAACTGAGGAAATATATAATATGTTCATATTTATTTCCTATATGAAATTATTAATATGTTTATAATTATAATACTGTATATTTTAATGGCCACTCGAGGCTT